AACGAACTTCCTTCACGACGATCATTTCCATGTCTGCTGTCTCACAGGGTGAAATGCAGAGCTTGGCAAGGGAAAGTTGATCGATATGGGAACATTCTCCCAGGGTACAAGATTTAGTACTCTGGCAGGGATCCCAGGAGGAAGGACAACTGGGTTGCTAGTAAGGCTTCTGGGAGGCTGGAGCAGCAATGACCCGTGCTAACCGAAGTCAGCGTGCCGGAACCACTGTGGCAGGCGGCGGAGGCAGAGGTCACAAAGGTCAGAGAAGTGGGTATACTAGAGTATATTCGCACGATGTGAGGATAGAAAACTCACCAGATACTCTGCAGCAGAGTCTGAAGTACATTCCACTTCCCAAAGTGATAAGGAATGAGCTGGGGAGAGGAACACTGTGTTGTTGAAAAGCTCAGCGATTCTCAGTGGATCATCTGTTCCCAATAGACTGGCACTAACTGCCACTATAGAACCGGAATTTCTGACCGCAACAGGGATGATAGGATCCCATTAATAGGGACCAGGCGGTTATGCTTCGCTGTCAGAAGTGAGGGGGCACAGTGGTTACAGTGAGTGGCAACATCAGGTCAGCTGAAGGACCATGTCCACACAGAGCTTTGGAGATGCTTCGTAGAACACGGTGCTCCTAGCTGTGGAGGAGCATCACAGGGATGAGTACTGATAACTTATACAACCGAAAATTAAAGGATGGATGAGGGCAGCTGCCATCATAAAAACAGATGATTCCAAGCAGGGCATGGTGGCTCCTTCCAGCACTTTGGGCAGCTGAGATGGGAGGACCGCTTGAGGCCAGCAGTTTGAGATCAGCCTGGTCAACAGAGTGAGACCCCATCTCTACAAAAAAACTAACCAGGTGGGCTGACACACACCTGTAGTCCTAGTTACTTAGGAGGCTGAGGCAAAGGATTGCTTGAGCCCTGAAATTCGAGGCTGCAGTGAGCTATGACTGTAGTGCCGCAGCTCAGCCTCGGTGACAAAGCAAGACTCTATCTCCTACAGACATTGTAAAAAATTAAAGACATTAAAAAGTTACATTCCCTGGTTCTTTTTTTTTGGGCCTGAGAGATTTTTCAAGTCCAGAATCCAAAGACTTAAAAAGACACTGGGTCCTTATGAGGAAGAGCTCTGCAGCACCAGGACTGGAAGCTGGCATGTGTGCCTCCATCTTTCCCCATGGACCCTCATGGTTATTTTCTTAGATAATGGCAGTGATCGTCCTCAGAGCCATGAAGCACCCCTGTTAGAATAGAGGCCGATGGGGTTCAGACAGTAAATGGAATTCCGGCCCATGTCTGACTCACATTGATTCCACCGGGTCTGCTGACCCATCTGGTGGGCATTGCCCAGAAGCTGAATACACAATTAATGTAGACTCATCTACATGGATTCCTTGGCCTTTGTGGTAAGATCTATTGTAATTAAGGAGGAAAAGGGAGAATCTTTGAAACTCCCCCATCAGCACCAATTATTGTCATTTAAAAAATCATCCAGAATAATAGCCATACTGGCCAGTGTTTCCAGGACTGTCCTAAGGAGGGAAGGGAGCCTGGGAGAGCCACATACCCAGGGTCCTTTCATAGCCCGCCAGGAAGGCCAGTGTTGCAACTTGGAAGTAAGAGGATGAGACACAGACAGGAAAAGAAGCCTCCCTCAGGCCTGATGCCTGTGCCCCTACAGAGACCCTCTCCAAGTTTCAGGGCCCCGGGTCACCCACAGCCAGGCCAAGCTGCTTGACCACATTCTCTGGCTCATGACCTACACTGTGTCACCGGTGTGGACTGCTGAAAAAAATTGAGTTAGATATTGAAGACCACTGTTTTTAAAACACAAGGGATTGGATTATGTAATATATAAACAATTCGCTGGGCATGGTGACTCACACTTGTAATCCCAGCACTTTGGGAGACCAAGGTGGATGGATCACTTGAGGTCAGGAGTTCAAGACCAGCCTGGCCAACATGGTGAAATCCTGTCTCTAATAAAAATACAAAATTAACCAGGCTAAGATTAAGGGTTAAAGGTAAATATAAGAAAAAACAGGCTGGATGAAGTGGCTCATGCCTGTAATCCCAGCACTTTGGGAGACCAAGGCGGGTGGATCACTTGGGCCCAGGAGTTCGAGACCAGCCTGGGCAACATGGTGAAACCCTGTTTCTACAAAAAATACAAACATTAGCCAGCTGTGGTGATGTGCGCTTGTAGTCCTAGTGACAGAAGGGCTGGGCTCCTGGCTAAACCCCACCCGCAAGCCGGAACCATGGTCCTACGTGAAAATAGCTGATCCCATTTTTTCACCCAAATATGGCTTTTTTGGCCTCCCCTGCCCCTATCCTGGGCCCATAAAAGACTTCAGCTGGCAGAGCAACACAACTGGTTGAGTGTCGAGGATCCAAGCAGCTGAGTGTCGGGGATACAAGGAGCTGAGCGGTGAGCAGAGAAGCAACTGAGCACCAGAGACTGTGGACAGATGTGGTTAACTTCAGACCCGTGACTTCAGAGAGGGGCTCGGCCAGAGTCGGCAGAACTTCAGGAAGAGATCACCTTCGCATCCGCTTTCCAGCGTCTGTTTCCACCGAGTGCCACCCGCCACTCAATAAAGTCTTCCGCATTCATCACCTTTCAAACACTTCATGTGACCTGATTCTTCCTGGACACTGGACAAAGCACCCAGGTGCCGAGACGACAGGGGCTGCCACCCAGACCCTCCACTGAGCGGGCTGGCACTTGGCTGTCCGCAGACCGCAGAGCTGCAAGAACCGTTGGTGTAACATGCTTGGGTGCTGCTGCAGGGCCACGCAGAGCCTGCTCCTGCCAGGGAGGAGCGACCAGCTGGTCTCAGGGCTGACTCGCTGTAGTTCCTGCTCTCAGTCACTCACACGCTCCCTCCCACGAGGAGCGGCCAGCCAGTGGCCTGAGCGAAACAAGCCACTCCGGTTCCTGCCTGCAAATGGGGTCAAGGGAACAATTCCATCTCACCTGCTGCTCAGGAGGCTGAGGTGGGAGGATCACCTGAGCCCAGGCGGTTGAGGCTGAGTGTGCCATGATTGTGCCACCACACTCCAGCCTGCATGACAGAGCAAGACCCTGTCTCAATAAAACAAACATTTTTTTAAAAAAAAAGCAGTGAAATCTAAAAAATGAAACAACCTACTAAATCTGAAAGGTAATGAAAAATATAAGGTGAAATGCCCTAGATTTAAGAGGAAGAAATGAAAGGTGAAAGCTTTCATTAGCTACATTAAAGGCTTGAGACACGAGGAGACAGATTTTAGACTGAGATTAGAAATACATGTAATAGGCAAAATGGAATTGCATTTTACTTTATTTGATAGGAATAAAAAGAAAAGAAAGCGGAACGCGGTGGCTCACGCCTGTAACCCCAGCACTTTGTGAGGCTGAGGCAGGAGGATTGCTTGAGCCCAGGAGTTTGAGACCAGCCTGGACAATATAGTGAGCCCCTGTCTCTACAAAAAATTAAAACCTAGCCAGGCATGAGGCTGAGATGGGAGGATTGCTTGAGCCCTTGAGATCAAGGCTGCGGTGAGCCGTGTTTGGGTCCCTGCATTCCAGCCTGGGCAGCAGAGTGAGGCCCTGTCTCAAAAAGAAGAAGGAGGAGAAGGAGGAGTGGCAGAGGAAGAGGAAGAGGGAAAAAGAAGGAAGAAGGAAGAAAGAAGAAAAAACCAGGAAAGATGAAGTAAGAGTGATAAAAGTAGCTCTACAGCTGAATTTAAAAATAAAAATCTGAAGTCACTCAGCACTCAGGGCAATGGCCGCCCTCAGAACCGTGCTAGGATGCTGGTTTCCCCAGAGCCGACCTTCCCAGCCCGGGGAGCCCAGCCCGGGGTTCTTGTTTCGGTGACGTAGGCAAGACTTCCAATCCTCCATTTGATTTGAACAAAGCCTCTCATGGTCACGACCAGATTCTAGATCAGTTCCCTCTGAAGAGGTATCTCATCCACCCCAGATCCCAAAATCAACACTCGAAGCTCCTTAAGAGCAACAAAAATGACAAAGAACAAGGCATTTAGCTAAAAAGACTGGGCGCTCTCACTGTCTACTCATTCGAGGAGGGCACCCCCCATCCGTGGGTTCGCAGGGGCAAGGCAGGGAGAGCGGCAGAGCCGTGGAGGGGCAAACATTCGAAATCTGCCCTTGCTCCCTCCCAAATGTCTCCCCGTGAAAACCTTCAAATAATTTCAAAAGCAGATTAAAAAAATCTACATACTTTTTTTGAAAAATTTTTCTTTTTTTGAGACAGGGTCTCACTCTGTGTCACCCAGGCTGGCATGCAGTGGTGTGATCATGGCTCACTGCAGCCTCAACCTCCTGGGCTCAGACGATCCTTCCTCCTCAGCTTCCCGAGTAGCTGGCACCACAGGCACAGGCCACCACACTGGCTAATTTTTTTTTTTTTGGCATTTTTTTGTAGAGACAAGGTTTCACCGTGTTGTCCAGGTTGATCTCAAACTTCTGGGCTCAAGCAATCCTCTTCCCTCCGCCTCCCAAAGTGCTGGATTACAGAAGTAAGCCACCACACCCAGCCTATTTTGAAATAGTCTTAAGAGTACAGGTAAGTTGCAAGAACGGTATTGGTAAATAAAAGTTGTGGGAGGCCATCTGATTTGGACTAAGCTCCTGTACTGGGCCCAGTGACCAAACCGAAACAGTCCCTCATGTTGAAGTCCCCAAGCTGAAACTAAGTTGTGTACCTGACCTTCTGAGAAATCAGGAGTGAGAGAGATAATAGCCAAATCCCCAGAAACTTTAGTTGGTATGACAAGGAAGCCCCTTACTTCAATCTTTACAAGGAAAGTAAGTTTGAAACAACCAATCCACTGTTTGTTCTGTTTCTCCATTTCTTACCCTTTTTCTGTCTATAAAGCCAATTTGCTCCGCTCTGCTATCTTAGTCGTTCTCACACTGCTAATAATGACACACCTGAGACGGGGTAATTTATAAAGAAAAAGAGGTTTAATGGACTCAAAGTTCCACATGGCTGAGGATGCCTCACCATCATGGCAGAAAGTAAAGGAGGAACAAAACTGGTGGCAGGCAGGACAGTGCGTGCAGGGGACCGGCCCTTTATAAAACCGTCAGATCTCATGAGACTCATTCACGATCACAAGAACAGCACAGGAAAAACCTGCCCCCGGGATTCAATTACCTCCCAATGGGTCCCTCCTACAACACATGGGAATTATGGGAGCTACAATTCAAGATGAGATTTGGGTGGGGACACAGCCAAACCATGTCATCTGCTTACTGGAGCAGCCATTCTATTATACAGAATGAGGGGTAGCCTGATTTTAGAATCGCACATAAAAGTCAGTTAAAATCTTTAAATGTGTTGTAATTTTGTCTTTCAACAGTATACAAAGAACTCTCGAATCCCCTATTATCATTTTCTGAACCATTTAGAGCAAGCTGCAATCATAATGTCTATCACCTTTAAACACTCCAGAATACATTTTTAGATATAACCTTTTAATGGATTGAATAGTCTTCCCCCCAAATTCATGTCCTCCTAAAACTTCAAAATGTGACCTTCTTTTGAAATAGGGTCATTACACATGTAATGAAGGATCTCCGATTGACTCCATCCAAGGATTGGGGTGGACCCTAAATCCAATAGACTGGTGTCATCATAAGAAAAGGTGAGGACAAGGAGAGACAGAGACACACACAAGTAGCCATGTGAAGACCGACGCAGAGACTGTGGTTCCGCTGCCACAAACCAAGGCACCCCAAGGATTGCCAGCAACCATCAGAAGCGAGGAGAGAGGCACGAGACAGTTTCTCCATCACAGTCTCTGGAAGGAACCAAGCTTACTGACATGTTGGTTTTGGGCTTCTAGCCCCCAGAACTTCAAGAGAATACATTTCTGTTGTTTAAAGCCATGCAGTTTGTGGTAAATTATTATGGCAGTGCTAGAAACTAATACAAACCCTCCAAGGCAGAAATAAACATGGGCACAACACTGGGACCCAATCCACAGACCCCATTTAAATTTTACTGGCTCAGCTCACCACGTCTCTCTTCCCCTTCAGGTCCAGGATCCAGTCCAGGAGCACGCACTGCTTTCACCTGTCACATGTCCAGATGGAAGGAGATGTCCTTCAACATGGAATAATTTCTTAGTCTTTCCCTGTCTTCCACATCCTTCAGTTTTTTGTTTTTGTTTTTATTTTGAGACAGGATCTCACTCCGTCACCGAGGCTGGAGTGCAGTGGTGTGATCGTGGCTCACTTCAGCCTTGACCTCCTCAGGCTCAGGTGATCCTTCTACTTCAGCCTCCCAAGTATCTGCGACTACAGGCGTGTGCCACCACACCACGCTAATTTTTGTATCTTTTGCAGAGACAGGGTTTCATGTTGCTCAGGCTGGTCTCAAACTCCTGGGCTCAAGTGATCTGCCCACCTCGGCCTCCCAAAGTGCTGGGATTACAGGTGTGAGCCACCTGCTTCCATCTGATATTTCATTTTGGCCAGACCTTGCCATGAGCTCTTGAGAGGAAGATGATGGTCAGGATCCTGGGCTCTGCACATGACAGCACATGATGGGTCCTGTCCCGTCTCTGGTGATGTTCATCTGGATTGCCTGGTCATGCTGGGGTCTTCCATATTTCTCCTTCGCTGAGTCACCATTTTCACCTTTGCAATTTATAAACATTTTGTGGGGAGATTTTCTAAAATTGTGCTAAAATCCTGATCCTAACAACTTCCACCCATCAGCCTTAACATTTATAGATGATCCCTATCTGAATAAATCATAGGCATAATAGTGTCATATTGTGGTTTGCTATTTTCATCATTCCTTCTTCATTTATTACTTGGCTTTCTACTGTAAGAAAGAACTTTCACTCCTTCCTCCATTTATTTACTTATTTATCTATTTATTTACTAATTTATTCATTTATTCAATAGTATGAATTTCAATTTAACAGGTTAAAATCCATGCTTGTTCTCTGTGAAGGTACATAACATTATTATCTTTATCAGATTAGAAGTAGTTCTGAACTTCTAAAGAAAGTTTACAAACAGCCTAAAAATGAGATAATCACACTTACTTCCCATACCTTATTTTCATCCAAATAAACATGAAAATAATCCAACATGATATTTGAAATTCTACCATAGGATATTTTACTAGAAAAGACAGAAGCTTTTGTTTTTGGTAATGTTTGTTCACGTCACAAAATTACTGAGAAGCAAAACATTTCTAAAGTCACCTTAGAACATTGTAATTCACATTCGTGTTAAAATGACGGTTACAAGTCTGGGAAGGGCAGGGGAGGAGTGGAAGTGGGTATGACACTCTAGTTAGATACAACGCATAAGATCTAGTATTTGACAGCACAGCAGGGTGACCACAGCAATAATAAACAATAATTTATTGTACATTTAAACATAATCATGACTATAATTAGATTCTTTGTAACACAAAGAAAGGATGAATGCTTGAAGTGATAGATACCCCATTTATCCTGATGTGATTATTATTACTATTATTTTTTGAGACAGAGTTTCGCTCTTGTTACCCAGGCTGGAGTGCAATGGCGCAGTCTCCGCTCACCGCAACCTCCGCCTCCTGGGTTCAGGCAATTCTCCTGCCTCAGCCTCCTGAGTACCTGGGATTACAGGCACGCGCCACCATGCCCAGCTAATTTTTGTATTTTTAGTAGAGACGGGGTTTTACCATGTTGATCAGGATGGTCTCGATCTCTTGACCTCGTGATCCACCCGCCTCGGCCTCCCAAAGTGCTGGGATTACAGGCTTGAGCCACCGCGCCCGGCCTCCTGATGTGGTTATTACCCATTGCATGCTTGTATCAAAATATCTCCATACATGAACACCATACATACATATGCCTACTATGTACTCAAACATTTAAAAAATAATAAAAAATAAAGAAAATAAAATTATATAATATTTCTTTTATAAATTCCCTTCCACAAATCTTTTCATGACTTAAACAGACCGTCTATGAAAAGCTTGGACTTCTCACTTGTCCGAAGCATCCCTCTTTTTAAACAGTTAGTTCTTTTTCTTTAGGACAGAAATTTACGACCAAAGATCCTTTCTCGACCAGGCACAGTGGCTCATGCCTGTAATCCTAGCACTTTGGGAGGCCGAGGTGGGCAGATTGCTTGAGTCAGGAGTTTGAGACAAGCCTGGGCAACAAGGTGAAACCCTGTCTCTACTAAAATACAAAAAATTAGCTGGGTGTGGTGGTGTGCACCTGTAGTTCCAGCTACTCGGGAGGCTGAGGCAGGAGAATCACTCAAACCTGGGAGGTGGAGGTTGCAGTGAGCCGAGATTGTGCCACTATACTCCAGCTTGGGCGACAAATGTTGTATAAGAAAAAGATCCTTTCTCATATAACAATTCTTTTCTTTATAACCTTCCTTAACATAAATACCTCTTTACCTTTATAATCTTTGAATTAGACAAGTCTTTTCCTTCTGGTAGGAATCTGTGGTTTGTGCTTCCCGTTGTTGTGTGTCCTGCAAAGGCGAAGCGAACGAGGAGGTCGTCTAAGTACCACAGAAGTCCCCGCTCAAGAGACTGCTCGGTTAGATTTTTGCTTATCCAAAAAGTGTGGGGTATTTTTAAAGCCACACTTATTTGGCTGGTAGGATGGTACAGGTTGAAGTTATTGGTTAAAGATTTAGGTATTTTTTTGGAGAAATAGGACTCTTAGAGAGGAAGATAAATTCAGACGTTGGGTACATATTAAGGAGCTACCCAGTTTGGAAAGTACATTTTTGCCCCAAAGAGGTGTGAATCTTTTCTTTTAGAGGGAGTGGGTGACATTTGCCCTGTTACCTCACAGGATTTGGAGGAGAGTTGCTTAGAGAAGGAGATTAGCATAGAGTGGCAGCTCTTGAACCCAAAAGGGAGCTTTGGGAGGCCAAGGTGGGTGGATCATGAGGTCAGGAGTTTGAAGACCAGCCTGACCAATATGGTGGAACTCCATCTCTACTAAACATACAAAAAGTAGCTGGGCCTGGGGGCGTGAGCCTGTAGTCCCAGCTGCTCGGGAGGCTGAGGCAGAATTGCTTGAACCCAGGAGACGGAGATTGCAGTGAGCCGAGATCGTGTCACTGTACTCCAGCCTGGACGACAGAGTAAGACTCCGTCTCAAAAAAAAAGAAAAAGAAAAAGAAAGCAAGGCTTTGCTTGCAAAAACAGCAGCCTTTGGGTTTGAGAGGGCAACACTGACTTGCTCTTTTGACATAGAGAAAGTTTGTGGAGGGCTCGGAGCTTGGCGGTAAGAACTCGCAAATGGCAAAGGAAGAATTTTTTCTTCTGCTAAAGGAGTGATACCTCAAAAAAAAAAAAATAAAATGAAAATTAAAAAGCAAGTAGGTGGGATCCTTAAAGCGCCAGAGTGAGGTCCTTTGCAGGTGTACAAAGTGCTTCCAAAGCCACCAGAAAACTAGGCCCTGGGGCATACCAGGAACAAGAAGTGTATGGAAAGTCCTAAGGAGCTGGCAGAGCTGGGGTTCCATCAGTGTCCATCCCGGCAAGGTGCCAGGAGCCGGGCAAAGCTGGAGGTCATCCAAGCTGGTGGGGTGAAAAAGTATAAATCTCAGGGGACATCCACAAGGGAGCCTGTGTTTTTGCTGCCGAGCGAATGCAGCAAGAGCTGTGGGTGCAAGGATAAGAGGGAATGTGTGTATTTAAGGCAGAGAAGGAAGTCGTGTCGCATAGTGAAACCAGGGAAAAGGCAGACTTGCCCCTGAGGCAGATGGTCTGGTGGGTGCGCAAGGCCGTTTCAGAACACACACACACAAAACAGGGGCAGAGGCAGTGCAGGGTTTTGGGAAAGAGCTGATTTTAGTTGAAAAAGCAGAGGAACCCCCAGACACGGCACAGTCTTAGCCTTTAGCCCCACCACTGTCCCCAGACTCCTGTGCGGCAGCGCCATTAGCGTCTCAGGTCGACTTGGTGCAGTCTCCAAAATCCTACCCACCCCCACAACACACCTGTCGGGGTAGGCGGGGAGATCAGCCTGGGAGCAGAGCCACTGCGGCGGAGAGGAATCGTTCCGAGGTTGGTTAGTGAGCAGGGGGGCAAGAGGGAGAAGAAAACTGCATGTCGGGGGTTGAACACCTCCAGCCAAGGAAGGCCAGGCATCGAGGGGCTCACCGCTAGTGAACGTAACCAAGTCACAGCCACAGCGCGTCAGACCCAACGGCAACCGCTGGGTCCGCAGCAATCTCAGTTTTGCTTCCTCGGTTTCCCTAGAAGAAAGAGTTCAACTGGGGGGCATCAGGCAGAGACAGAGAGATCGAGCGTGCTCGAGGCAAGTTTTAGAGCAGGAGTAAAAGTTTATTAAAAAGTTTTGGAGTAGGAACAAAAGGAAATAAAGCATGCTTGGAAGAGGGCCCAGCAGGCAGCTGGAGAGATGCTGGTGCCGGGCGTAACCGCTGACTTGGGTCCTTGTTGCTTCCCTGGTCCCCTGATTCCTCCCTTGGGGTGGGCTGAGCGCGCGCACGGTGGCCTGCCACACCTGGGCGGGGCCGCGCGCAGGGCGTGGTCACTGAGGTTGTGCGCATGCTCACTTGAGGAGTTCTTCCCTTACCGATCCAGCGTTCCTGGAGGAAGGTCACGTACCGGTTACACGCCACCATTTTGCCCTCAGTGCGCATGCTTGAGCTCACTCACTCCACTCCTGAGATCTTACTGGGATCATCACCAGTTTCAGGTTTGTTTCTCTCTTGGGAGACTGCCTTTCCCTGGGGAGCCGGCTGTGCCCAATTCTTATCTTAGAGACACAGTGTGACCACTGCCTGACCATCACCCGATGGTCGCCTGCCATTCCAGGCCATGGGCCGCGGCGGGGATGCGCCGTCCCCTGCCCTGCTCACGTCTGACTGCCTCCGCTAACACCGCCACACCCAGCTCTGGCCACGCCATTCTTAAAGAATGTCTTCCTTTTCCAGCACAGATATTCCAGGCTTACCTAGTTCCCGCCCCAGCCCAGGAATCAGTTATTTCCTGGTTCCTTTCCGTGCAAAATGACATTTAGAAACCAAGATTGGATGCTCCACGTGCTCATTGCTGGGATGATACTGCTTCCAGGCTTGCATGGCTGATGGAGCTACGATTTGTTTGGACGTGTGTATATGTGTGTGTGTGTGTGATGTATATATATGTACATACACACACCTCTCTCTATATATCTATACACATATAACTATATGTGTACAGATATACTTTTATGTTTTCTGTATATATCTATACACATAGTTATACCTGTATAGATATTTTATGTTTATGTATTTTTAAATTACGAGTTCATAATGTACTTCCCATTACAATTCAGTACCTCAAGGTTATTGCTGTTCTTCACTCTCTTCTGGCCACTGCTCTCGCCTGGCCTCCATTGCCTTCTCCACATTTACTTGTTCAAATGACTCATTAGCTCCCTGGAACCCTGCAGCACGTCCTCCGCGGGGCACCTCCCACCACCGCTGCGCAGCTCAGCCCTGGACACGTGGACACCTCTCAGAGCGGAACGGAGGGGAAGAGAAATTCCAGAAGCAATGGGAAAAGAGCGATTAAAGTTGGCTTCACTCTCTTGGAAGCCGACTGCAGAATGTGAACGTTGATTGTATAGCACATTCTTTGCCTTTAATGGGAGAATGAAGTGAAAGACATTCCATGATATTCAGTCAGAAGAAGAAAGGACTGTATTTCCCCTGGTTCCAGTAAAGAGCCATAATTAAGTAAAACCAAATAGAAAAATAGAGTGGATAGGAATGGGAAGAAACAAGGAGAATACAATGTGAATCATATGGAAATAAAATAAAAAAATTAAAATGAGACAGATGAGGGGGAAGCCAAGGGTCACAGTGGCAGAGCTGAGACTCTGAGCCTGGCTTTTCACAAAGTCCTTAAGGCATGATTCCTTTCCCGAGCTGCCTCCCAACCATTTGGCCTTGTGGCAAGTTTCAATCTCCAACTTAAATCTGACTTTTAAGCAGCCACACCCCTTCCAGGGCCCAGAGCTTCCTTTTCCCAGCACGGAGCTCCTGCCTCGGCCTATCCACATCCTGGGGGCTCCCTGCAGACCCAGACCCAGTGCTTTTTTCTTTTACCCTCAGGGCCCCCCTGCTTTATTTAACCCTCGGGGTCTGTTGCCCAGGCTGGAGTGCAGTGGTATGCCCTCGGCTCACTGCAACCTCCACCTCCCTGGTTCAAGTGATTCTCCTGCCTCAGCCTCCTGAGTAGCTGAGATTACAGGTGCCCACCACCACACCCAGCTAATTTTTGTACTTTTAGTAGAGATGGGGTTTCACCATGTTGGTCAGGCTGGTCTCAGACTCCTGACCTCAGGTGATCCGCCCGCCTCGGCCTCCCAAAGTGCTGGGATTATGGGCGTGAGCCACCGCGCCCAGCTTCCCTAGACTTTTACAAAGTGGACCTCTGCCCAGTGCTGTAGGAAGCAAGGGGAATGAATATGCAGTCATGCAACCCTATGATTTTAAATCCTAGTTTTTCTACTTTCTAGCTGTGTGTCCTGGAGCAGATTATTCTGTGAGCATTGATTTCACCTTGAAAACACGCATAACAATACAAACCTCACAGGGTTCAGCCAGTGTCCAGTGAGGGAGCAAAGAAGCTTTCTTTCTTATGCAAATCAGGATGACTGATCTTGGGCTGCGTTTAAATTCCCATTCCTCCAGAAGCAAACGTCCACAGATTTGGCAAAGACTCAGAGAAATGACCTTGTTTTTCTAAACTGAGAAACTTTCTTAAGAAAACATTAGCTATTGGGAAGGAGGCAAAGCCAATGGCGAGGGAAAAAGCAGCCACGAGATAAACTTCCCATGATTTAGTGACCTGGAGAAAATTGATAAGGAACATAGTTTACCCGGTTTTTGAAAGAAGAAACAAATGACTTAGTGTTACAAGAATGCCCCATACTTCAGTATGTAATTAAGTGGATTCTGGCAGAAAGAATGGGATTCTGGGGCCTAAGCCTAATCCTAAAAACTGCTTCATTTCAATTTACTTGTTCAAGCCTAGCTTGTGTTGTAAATCACAGAATCTTTAGGAAATAATACTGGAAAAACCTGGGCAGGCTCTGACTGCGTCACCTGTGACACCCTGTCTCCAGTCTCTGGGGACACATTCTCTCTCTCTCTCTCTCTTCTCTCTCTCTCTCTTTTTTTTGAGATGGAATCTCTCTCTGTGGCCCAGGCTGGAGTTCAGTGGTGTGATCCTAGCTCACTGCAACCTCCACTTCCTGTATTCAAGCAATTCTGCCTCAGCCTCCCTAATAGCTGGAACTACAGGTGCCCACCACCACACCAGGCTAAGTTTTGTATTTTTGGTATAGACAGGGTTTCACCACGTTGGCCAGACTGGTCTCGAACTGCTGGCTGCAAGTGACCCCCCCACCCCCCCGCCTCGGCCTCCCAAAGTGCTGGAATTACAGGCATGGGCCACTGCGCTAGGGACACATTCTCTTTCCTGTGTGGTGGTTTTCACTTGAAGCAAGAACCAGTCCTCCCCGTTCCCCTAAGAAATAACAAGCCTGTATTTTGGCAAATGTGTTGCTTTGGAAATCTGTTGCAAAACAGATTTCAGTGGTGGTGGTATGGTGGGGGCTTCCCAGCCCATCCTGGGAGGTTTTATTACAAAAATAACTAATTCAAGAAGCTCAGCCTCTCCCAAGGAAGGACATGGAGGCCCAGGCTAGTCCTAGAGTCTCTAGCAGAGCCACTTCCCTGAAGTTTTGTTCCTTTCTGGCTTAGTCCAAATAAACAGGCCACTCTTCCTATAGCATTACAAAGTTACTAGATTGTCTGTTTGCGATTCGGTTTCAGAAGGGTTTTGTCCGCTCTCTGCAAACTGCGTCTGTAATTGAGGCCGGCCGCCTCTAGGTGGCACCAGTGTACCATTCTCCCACGCCGAATCTGCTCTGAGAATCAAGACGTTTCACTCCCACCTAATTCATTTGAGGAACTACTGCCAAGATGCATCTTCCTAATGATTTCTCTGCTCAGAGCCCTTCAGAGGCTTCCTGTTGTCTGCTAGATAAAGCCAGGCAATCAGTGCTGTCAGCCTGAGAGCAAGCTGAGATCCAGTCTTGCCTGAGTCTGCAGGATGGTGGGAGAAGAGGCATGGGGCTTTCTGGTTGGAGGGAGGACATTGTTTAAGATATGGGGGAAAAGAACAGAAGCAACAAAAACAAGAGTGAAAAGGAACCATGACACCAGCATCATGGACTTGTGTCTCTGCAGAGAAGCACTGCAGGCAGAAACTGCAATCCTTCCCTCCCTCCCTCCTTCCCGTCTTCCCTCCTTCTCTCCTTCCTTCCTTCCCTCCCTCCCTCCCTCCCTCCCTCCCTTCCCTCCCTCCCTCCCTCTTGTTGCCCAGGCTGGAGTGCAACGGCACGCTGTCTGCTCACTGCAACCTCTGCCTACCGGGTTCAAGTGATTCTCCTGCCCCAGCCTCCTGAGTAGCTAGGATTACAGGCATGTGCCACCACACCTGGCTAATTTTGTATTTTAGTAGAGATGGACTTTCACCATGTTGGTCAGGCTGGTCTTGAACTCCTGACCTCAGGTGATCCACCCGCCTTCACCTCCCAAAGTGCTGGGATTACAGGCATAAGCCACCGCACCCGGCCTGAAAACTGCAAGCTTTTCGCACAAGACCCAGGACTCACACTTTTTAGTGCTCACTACCAAGTAATAAAACGTGACCCAGAGGAAGAAAGGGAGAGGGGCTTTCTTTTCTGCCTCTACAAGAAACACAGTGAAACCGAAATGAGGTCAGTGGCAGAACCATGGCAGTGAGGGAGGTCTAATCCAGACAACCCCCATCTTGCCTTTAGCTCTCAAGTTGCCATTAATTATTAATATTTCAGAGCTTAGACCAAGCTGACTTTGGGAGTTCAATGATAATAGCCTTGTCCCTGAACTCAGCTGCTTTTGTAGAGGTAATGGGAGACCACCAGGTAGAGAAGTCTGAATTCGGCTAAGGTGTGGATATGAGTGATTGCCAACCATTATTCCGGAGGTCATAAGATCTGCAACCTCCCAAATTACTCCTGTAGATAATATCACCATTATAGACCTAACATTGGCCTTTCAAATATCTTTTCAGTTTTTTTTGCATGTCTGACACTAATGCCCCCACCTAGACCCACCAACCCCTCCTGTGGCCCCATTCACAAAGGACTCAGGCATGGGAGGACTACGTCGCACACCCCTATGATTGCGTCCCCAACCAATCAGCAGCAAGCACCCAGTGCCACCTCCATCCCTCCTCCCAAACTATCCTTCAAAAATTCCTAACCTCTGAGCCTTCGATGAGGTTGGTTTGAGTAATAACTCCATTTCCCATGAGGCAAGGCTGACCTCAAGTCAATTAAACTTTTTTTTTTTTTTTTTTTTGAGACAGAGTCTGGCTTTATCACTAGGCTGGAGCGCAGTGGCGTGATCTTGGCTCACTGCAAGCTCCACCTCCTGGGTTCAAGCAATTACAGTGCCTCAGTCTCCCGAGTAGCTGGGATTACAGGCACCTGCCACCACACCCAGCTAATTTATTTATTTGTTTATTTTAGGTAGAGATGGAGTTTCACCTTGTTGGCCAGCGTGGTCTAGATCTCCTGACCTTGTGATCTGCCCACCTTGGCCTCCCAAAGTGCTGGGATTACAGGCATGAGCCACTCTCCCTGGCTGTTAAACTCTTTGAATAGTGCTGTCTATTCCACAGGTTGTGAGGTTAAATGACACGAAACAGGTGACTGTGTGATGCAAACTTCATGTGACTATTTAGATATTCAGACTTTTTTCCTTGCCATTTTTTCTCACTCTCATCAATTACCAGAGGAAAGGGAACTGTGGAAAAGCCAGGAGGAGTGTGGGAAAATGGGGCAGGCATTTGTATTTTTATCTCTCTGACTCTTCCTGGGATTCATGGGATTTCTCACATCCCCATCAGCAATGTGGGGGAGGTTTGCTTTCTGCAGAATGGAGGCGGCCTGAGAGAGTGACCGGCTGTGTCCAGTGACTAACCAGCCTCAGTAACTGCAGCAGTTCCCAGCCCCGAAGAGGAGCTCACAGATCCTTGCTGAGTGATGTAGTTTGTGATATGATAACACTGACTCTATTGATTAGGCTAGTTCCATCCCCATTTCTCAGTCCCCTTTCTCCATCTGAGATTCGCTCCTATGGGTTTCGTTCAGAACATTTGTTGAGCCTCTATGCTGGATTCCAGTGGAGAAAGTGAGGAGAGGCCAGATAGAAAGATGAAGAGGCTGTTTTTGGTGGCTCACACCTGGAGTCCCAGCACTTTGGGAGTCCGAGGCGAGTGGATCACTTGAGCTTAGGAGTTTGAGACCAGCCTGGGCAACATGATGAACACCCATCTCTACAAAAAATACAAAAATTAGCTGGTGTGGTGGCGTGCACCTGTAGTCCCAGCTACTTGGGATGCTGAGGAAGGAAGGTAGCTTGAGCCCGAGAGGCGGAGGTTGCTGTGAGCAGTGATTGCACCTCTGCACTCCAACCTGGGCAACAGAGAGAGACCCGGTCTCTAAAACAAAAACAAAAAACCAAAAGAAAGATGAATAAGAGAACACTTCTCCTTTCTAAGTCCTAAAGGAGAGAAAGAGTACAAATATAAATATTACTCTTCTCTTTGCTTTCTCCAGATGAGAAAGTACGATGAGCGTCTCCGTGCTTAGGACGCAAACCGCAAAGCATTCACAAAGCGTATTATGTACAAAAGTGTAGATTGAGAACCTTTTAAACCCTCTGTTGAAAGCACTCAGTTTTGTCTTTTTATTTTTCTTCTTAAACTATCTAATGTCTTTCCCAACAA